AAAATAAAGCCTGATTCTTAATTTTTTTTTTTTTTTTTTTTTTTTTTTTTATGTGTCTGCCTGCGCCCCGACCTCCTCTTGTATACATTAACAACTTAATTATTCCTAAGTACTTCATCTGGTATTTCCGGATTTGGGCTGCATGCTGAACACACTGCTATGCTGAGGAGAAATCTAATAAATACCAGACATACGTCTACTAGGCTAGAAACACATTTTAGTAACTGGCCCACTTTAAAGTGCCACTTTGACGTTTCAAACTGTATTACACACAGAAGTACATCTGAGGACACCTCTCCTCAAGCTCTGACAGATTTATCTCCAGCTCCTTCCACATTTTCTCTCACCCTCTTGAGGGGACTTTCACTCTGCCAAAGCTGGAAACAACTAACAACCCCGTGCTTTGATCCGGCTCAGGGCCATAGTGCCCATCTGATCGTGCACCATCCCAGACATCATATAAAAGGTCACCAGAAGTGGGTTAAAATGAAAGCCAGATAGAGAACAGGTAAAAGAAAAAAAGCAACGAAAGGAGTTCTGGGCTAAATATATGTTCACTAATAAATATTACTCTGTAATCTCGCTCAATGCTAAATATTTTTCTCTGATGCAATTTGCATGTGGGTTAAAGGGCACATTCAGTTTTTACCCGACAGTGATAAAACAAGGATTTTCTTCCCTCTGTAATCAACAGCTGAAGTAATGAGAAACACGGTTATTAAAATCAGCTATAGGGCAAATATTCTGCTTGGATGCCTACTCAAATATCTAATTAAACTTATGGTGTGACCATGCGGCAACCAGAAGTAAATGTTTTTAGCGGGCTCTTTTATTTAACCATTTGTTGGCAAAAAGAAAAAAAAAACTATTAAAATTTTACATTTTAGATAACAAACTAATTATTGGTTGGTAAGTACAATAAAACTGATCAGATGTTATTATAATTATGGTAATGAAAGTAACAATTCACAGCCAAAAAGAAAAAAATCTGAAGGCAAGTTAATAATAAATGCCCTAAAATTAGAGGACATTTTGCATCTATATCTGTGAAGCTAGTTATTGAAATTCAAACCAGGCACAAATCCTGAATGAAAAAAAAAAGGAGTTTGTTTATTTTAAGGGCAAAAGGAGTCCATCCCGAATGACTGAGCTTCTCACTCTCCAATCTCAGACAAAACCCTGACACCCTGCAGAGAAAACTCATTTTGGCCACTTGTATCCAGGATTTTGTTCTTTCGGTCAAGACACAAAGCAATTGACCATAGATGAGGGCAGAATGTAGGCCTTTCACACAGGCATGAAATAATCTCACCTGAGTCACTTCAGGAAAAAATAATCTGATTTGGGACACAATTGTCTGCAGTGTGAACTTTAATGTCTGCGATGTTGACCAAGCTCTGGGCATACAGGGCCCTAACAGTCAGTCTCAAAGGGCCCCTGAGGGGCCCTGTAGGGAGTAGTAGGGGGTTGTTTATTGTCAAGGCTTTCAAAATTTACAGCATCTAGCAATGTGGCCAGTTACAGTATCTACTGAAGTATAAAGCTGTACTTGTTCGATGCAGATGATTTATATAAAAACAGTTAAAAGGATGAAGCCAAAAACAAACATATCCCTGCAGGATTTAACTGTCTAAAGACACAATCCTGTCCTCGACTCAGATAAACGCCCTTACGGATGCTAAGGATAGTTTAGTATTCACAAGAGAGAAAGGGTTTAAATACTAAAACATTCTTCAGAGGACATGTTTTGTCACCCTTAGAATTGCAAGGATGACAAAAAATGTAATCAGGAGGGTCCCAAAGGCTTTAAACATCACTGGCATAACAAGGTGATCAACATAACAAGTTTTCAACAGAGCACAGTGTTAAATATTTCATCATCCCTCTCTAAGGCTCCTTATCAGTCCAGTGATGACTAGCTCTTTTAACAAGACAGAACTGCAGTTTCAAATGCCCATCTGTCAGAGGACTTCTTCCTGGAGATAAAGATTTCTCTGGGACATGTTCCTATGTCAACCTAATTTAAATACTATAGAAAACATTTAGGCTCTTTGGCTTGGGAGCTTCTGAAAAAGTGTCAGTTACAGACAGTAGATGCTTTTCAACCAAAAGACTAATGTTTCCACTAGCAACAAACATGTCTTAAAAAGTTTAAGTGATCAACAAGAGTTATTGGTGAGCTGTCCAAAAAGTCATTTAGAGAAGCTCTGAAATCCTTTTTTTTTTTCTGTTTCTTATTTTTTCCTCACCACCAGCCTGTATAAAGCCCCTGTCACACCATGACGATTTAGCCAGCATATGCCTGACGTCTCAAAATCTTCTAAAAAATCCCCTCCAACTTCCAGCCCCACCTTCTTCCCCGGCGTGCATTTTTTTTTTTACACCGACTCCACCCTTTCACTGAACTACAGGGTCTGACCAGGAGATGGTGCTTCTCTTTAGATCTAAATGTCCAAAAATCATGACAGAAAGAATATTTTGGTATAAAGATTGATGTTTAAAAAGGAATTGTAGGGGACCATCCAAAGGACCAGCAGAGGGCCCATCAAGGAAATTAAGGACATTCTGAATGGCTTCTACTGTACATAGAGTATTCATAACAAGCCCAGAACTTATGTCCAACCACAGTCTCACTTATGCATAATACACAGCAGCATAATGCCCATGAAATGTCACAAGCCAGTGTCCTGAGGGGGGCAAAAAAGAGCATAAAAAGATTTCTTCGATCGCGGTATTAACCTAGCTGCTGATTACTGCCCACCCAAAAAAAGGAAGAACAAATAAACAAATAAAAAAAAAGAAAGAAGGTTTGCAGTCGCAGCAGATTCAGCATCATGTCTGCTAGAAAGTCTGAAGGTTGTGGCCGTGAAAACAATGAGGATCCATTACTCTCACCTTCTCTCTCACTCTACAACTGGAACAGAGTCAAATTAATGAGATCATGCTTATGTTGGAGGACAGCTAGTATGTATTCCCATCTAAGCCTTGCTGGATCCTCCATCTCTAAACCATGAAGCCTGGAAGAGAACTGACGGTTTTCTCCTGTGAACCTCCTTTTATACCAAAACGCTGCCAATATACCATGGAACAATAGCTGTAAGTTAGAAACACATTCAGCGGTCATCTGGAACATGTCAGATGCGTTGATATGTGTTAGAGATAAGTTCTCTTTCAGTTACGCATAAGTTATGCACAAGTTACTCATAGGTTTCGGATAAAATAGACACCACGACTTATGAGTAACTTACACTTAACGTAAGTCAACAATCAGATAATTTACCTGTAACTTATGCCCCACATATTGCATACGCTGGCATACGTCACTACGTACTTGCCGTAAATTGACATGTGCTAGCGTGTTTCAACCGGCTCAAAACGTATCCAACTTATATGCCAGAGTCTTTGCCAGATTTTTCGTACGTCAGCATATGCTGGTCTAAATCATCAAGGTGTGACAGAGACTTAAGTTTATACTTCAAGTCGTTTTCACACCTCATAGTCCGATACATTCAGAATGATTGGGGATTACAATTGCAACATTGTTACTATTTTAATCTGTCGCAGTTTGCATTCACATGTCAGTTTGTAAAAATAAAACAATCCTTTTGACCCACCTGTTTACACCGTCACCACCGGTGGCACCAAGAACCACTGTAGAAAGACGGTTGATCAACAACACAAAACTACTTCATTGGCTGCCAAAAGGAAAACATCATGGAATGACAACAGATTTCAGCAGTGTTGTGGCTATACTGTCTTTTGGCAAGTTTGGCATTCACATCTCCATTAATAATGCGCGAGATTTTCCTTCAATCAAGCTGAGACCTAGGTTTGAAGGCGGAACAGAGATTTCTTTTTTTTGGCCACTTTAGAGTTCTATTGTGCATTCATACCACCTTAAAAGAAACAAAATTTCTGACCAAACGATTAAAGTGGACTAAGCAATGCCAGTGTGTGAATACACGATTAAAAACTGTTTGGTTTCCAAAAAGGCAGTATAAATTGTTACCAGATCATCCCTGGTTTCAAGTCTTTTATCCTGTGTTTATTTCATGTAGCCATGTAACCCACCCATTCTAAGAAAATGACAAAAAACTATATATATTAAAGCATTAGAAAACTGAAATTAGACATAGGGGAAAACTCTACTCTTAAAGCTTAAAATTAAGAGAAAACTGAAAGTTACAAGCATCTAAAACAATACCATATAACTGTTAAATGTTTTTAATTGTTTGTGCCCCTTTTCATCTCTTTGATAGTGGTTGAATTTCCATATATGTTTAACATATAATGTGCCCATAATAGTTTGAAGTTTGAGATATTTCTATGTTTCTATGTTTTAGAATACCAAAAATCTCAAACAATCATTCCTTATGTGCTCCCTTTCATCTTCTGCAGAGGATATGTCTTTATGCGATGATGAAAAACGTGTCAATTTCAGAAATGGGTCATAATAATTTATTAATATTCACATTAAAAATACAAAAAATGTAAAAAACCGAGAGTAAGAGTTCAGAGGAAATAAATATATATATATATATATAAAAAAAAAGTGCTACTGCAAACTCATAGCATCCCTGCGAGAATCAAATTAAACCTCCAACAGCAAAGGCATCTCAGTGAGAAGACTTATCTGCTCAACAGCACATAACATGTTTCTTCATGTCTCCACCCTACGGTAGAATTACGCCACTAGCTGCCAATAATCATTTCTGGGATGTACAAAAGTAGAACCACAACAAGAGCCTTAATGGACATGTTTCTCCCCATTCAGGTTAATAACAAAACTCTGCAGCAAATAGGGAAAAAATAAAAAGGCTGGTGACGCAAGTTTGAGGAGGTCAGGCTCGCGCATTAGTGCAATGTGGAGAAAAGAAATCTCATTTTTGGGTTTAAGAGCAAATTGATGCAGGTTGTGAGGGGAAACTGAGGATAGTTATACAATTGGGCACCTGAATTGTAACATCGCTTCCATACAAAAAAACAATCAGCGTTCAAGTGGCCAGAGTCCCAAAGTCATTAGGTGTGATCGAAGTGGAGAAACTGGTGGTCAGATGAGTGACCGCTTAAGTTTCCACCATGTGGCTGTACGAATAAGAAACTGTAGAGGGAGATGGTATAAGAGTACAGTCTGCACCACCATCAGCTACTGCATCAGACAAGAGGATAAATTCAGTAGAATAAATATCACTTCAGCATTTCATCAGAGAGAAAACTGCTCTGAAGGTGAAGGGTCATCAGCACAGATTTTCTCTGATGTTTTCTAGTCTGTCTAAAAGCAGCATTAGGATAAATCTATGTGGAATTCTGCTTTACATTTCCATACCTGGGGTATTGTAGCAAGCAGGTCAAAACCAGCCTTCAGATCTTAAATTTTCTTGCCACCCATAGAGCACATATCTCTAATATGGCTAGAATACATTATGCCTTGATCACAGCATACATCAGTGAGCAAAAAAGTCAGCTCAAGAAACATTTCAAAATGTTGTCTATGTCACTTTTAATTAATTCTGGGGAATATGTCACATTTGAACTAGGAGTTAGAAAGAGCCACCTGTCAGCAACCTTTTGTTTTCCCAGAGGCTTAACCTAATTTCTCTTACCTCTCCCACAAGTAACACTGCATTCAGTCCATGATCCATATTTCCAGAAGTAAGTGTACCCAAAGCTGTTGTCATCTTTGGAAGAATTTTGACTGACTGTGTACTCATATCGCACACCTGGATTGGTTTCCTGAAAGAGAAGCTGCAAAAACAAAGAACAATTTTGACAAAGGCCTTTGTCTGGATAATTATCCACTCTAAACTCGACAAACTGAAATTAGATGTTCTGATTTAGTCAGCAGCCTTGGCGCCAAAACTGGAATCAACTTGTCAGTCAAACCTAAGCCAAATGATAATTTTGAAGTAACAAATTGGAATATTTTTGTTCATCTGAACTAACAAATTATACAAGACAATAAAAAACAAACAATAAGTACTGCTTAAATTATTCTTCAACGTTTGGAAAATTAGCACACAACATACACTTATATTAGATATACATAGATTATATAATACTAATATATAAAAGTATTATATTATAATGTTTCATATTATATTAATATGAAACAAATTACTTTTTATATAAACAAAAGGGTAAAACACTATATCTTAAAAGGTATGTTGTATAATTGTGGGGGAGGGAGGACTATTATAATACTTAAAATACATTTAAAACAAAAAAAATGTATTCAAGTATTCATTAAATTGCTAAATAAAATCAATTTACATTATAATTGTGTTATATTATCTATTTTATCCAAGGGAAAGCAGAGGAATCCATAGTTGATAGAGTGAGAGGCTTTGTGTGAATTAATTACAGGAAAACAAAATAAACATATTAAAGATTATGTCTACATTATATTTTCATCCCGCTTTGTAGTCCAGGGCACAATCAATGGAAGCTTTCTCACAAGTGATTTTTTTTATTTTTATGGTGAAACAAACTAGTCAGTCTTATCTTTCATCTGACTGCGGACAGAATTAGCTGCAGCTGCAAGGAGAGACTGACTGCCTGAGTGACGGCTATCAGTCCCTTTGAATCAGGAGGGGCACACAGCTGCCTCGGATGCTTGCTGGGGACAGTGAAATCAGAGCGATTGGTGCTTTCATGTTTCGCCAAAGTCTCAAACAACACAGAGGAAAGTCACTAGGCTCTTCATCAGTCTCCTTAGGGGGAAGAAAAAAAGCGAGATCTGAAAAGTCACTGATTAGTTGGCAAACAGTATTGGATCAGAGTAAGCAAGGCAAACATTTGAGTGGAGCGTTAGCCCTCCCATCAGAACTCAAGTCGTGTGTGAAGGAAGAAGAAATTGACAACAAAATGTTTGAGTTGGAGTATCTCTGTAGATTTAAACGAACCTTAATAATACAGTAAAGAGGCAAGTTAGAAGTCCCCGAAGAAGTATCCCACTAACGGCAGCAGACTAGTAAATGTACATAGTCTAATGACAGAAAGGATAGGGCACAGAAACGTATCTCAGATTTGTCCGCTAAAGAGAGGACTTTATCTCCAAGACCTCAGAGCAAAACTCAACATTTGGACACCTGTAAGCATGCAGGGACCCTGGCTGTAGCTCAAAGAAAGAGCATGGTGCCGCCGGGCACTTTCATATCTATTTGAGCAGTTTAACATAACCATAATATTAAAGTGAGTATATGACAATACAATTTTTTATTATATTTTAAATAGGCCAATAGGCTCAAGGTGTTTTGTAAAAAAAAAAAAAAAAAAAAAAAAAAAACATTTTCACAGTATCCAGTTTTCAAAATGACTTGCAGTGGCCCTGTGTGGGATTATCTACACCTAGTCCACCTCATTACATCTGACTTGTTTGGAATTATAATACTGATTCGACACCAGCTCCAATTTCAAGTTGCCAACTTTGTTTTTATCTTTGAAACATGGACACATTTTTTTGGTACATCAGTCAGTTTTCATCCAAACTTGCTCAAAATTAAGATAATTAATTGCTTAAATGGAAGATTTAAGTCTTACTTATTTTGTTTGGTTGAATAAAGTTTTAAGATTGCTGTGAAATAGTTTTGACCCAGATTTCTTACCAGCTTCACAAATTCGGAAATTGAAATCATTGAAATTTCCACAAGGTTCGCTGATTCTATACTCATACAGTAAATTCCTCCAACTCAATTTCAATTGGAAACGCACTAATTAAATGACCAGTAATCAAACATTTTCCCTCAATCTTTGAGCATGAGACACATTCAAACACTGATAAATATGGTATTTCTATTTTATGAAATTTATCAAAGCTCAGAAATCCCACTATTATAAATCTAAAACATAAACCTAATAAGTTTGGTGAAAATCATATTAATTTTAGTGAAATCATCTGTGGAATCATCTGCTTTTTTTAGGGGATCCAAATACAATATATTTTAAAGCAAATTAAATTAAAAGTAAATTTGCATTGTGCAAAAAAAAAAAAATAAAATAAAGTTTTGGCTGGGGACAGGACATTTAGCATTTTAGATCTGCTAAAATTTCAGTACATGCCAGAAAACAAGCACCAAGCTACAGATGATTGGTTTGGGTTGTTTCTGTTCATATATGGTGTTTTGCTTTCAATAGTCATGAATAAATAACATATTTTCACTTTGATTTAATTTGACCGAAGGTCCTTGATGCATATATGTTTTGATTTATTTAGATACAGACATGCAAAACCGCAGACATGCTGCCACTCTAACTAGAGGAGGCTGTCTCTTTAGAACACATAAGAAAAAGCCACCCAGGGTCAGTTTTTTATATTGTATATCCATGATCTAAGCGAGGCTCTTTATGTTTGTCTTGATCTTTTGTAAGTGTCAAAAAATAGACTTCTATCTTTGTAGAATAACCTTTCCACACTTCACAGATTGATAAACAGAAACAATTGCTTTTCTGAGGTCATTGCTTTCTCCGTAACAGTTTATTGCCTGATAACATTCTCTATCCATCACCGTAAATAGAAACAGTACATGAAATATTTCTTGATTTTTGATTATGTGTGATAACTTGTTAATCAGAATTATATGTGTGCTTAAATAATACTTTAGGTTTGCCTTGTTACCTTTTTGCTGCTTGCATCCCTTTAAACATAAATAACATTGAGTTAAATAGTGTAAATCATTTGCCTTGTAAGCAAGATGAATTGTGATAAAATTTGTGAATTCACAAACAGCTTCCCAGAAACCAACAGCTGTGTTAGCCTCAAAACAGAAATGATTTGGACCAGTGCAATGCAGTGATATGTATGATGGCAATGTATCAACCAGAGCCAGAAGCAAAACAAACATGGCTACGTCAGTTTTAGTAAAAATGTTCCTTTTGAAAAACAAGCCAAAGATCCCTGATTTTTATGGATGGAAAGATGTTTGGGCATTCCTCCTAACAGATTTGGTAAGACTTTGATGTATCAGTTAATGCTGCCAGTTTTGAAACAAATCAAGATTGTGATTGGCTAAAAAAACCCTACGAGGCAGGCAGGTACCCAATCAGCTCAAAGAACTGTACCAAATGTCCTTCCCATTTGCAAAAACTTTCTACATGAGGCTTTCCAGACTGATGTGTAGTTCACCTTGAATTTAACAGAGTCAGTCAGGCTTATGCAACATTACTTAATTATTGACAGGGGTAAAAAGTGTGGAGAAAGTATCCTACCTGAATCCACAGTGGCTCCATCGTGGGCCCAGGCGATGTCAGATTTTCCAGTTGTCCCGTCCTCTCATAAGTGAATACTGCTCCTGCTGCCTTGTATTCTCCATTCCACTGGATGGTCCAGCCTCCATTTAAAAAATACCTGCTGGGGTTGTCACTTCGCAGCGCCAGGAAGTTCCCAGCTTCAGCCACCTCCTCAATCAGGATATCCCAGGCTCCCTCTGGGATCAGGCCGACATCTACATAGCCTACATGACATCACGTCAGGAAGAATAAACAGCAAAATGTTTTATGTATAAAAATGAACTCATAAAGGAACACAAAATATAGGATTTTAGGTGGAGGACATAAAAAAAAAAAAAGAGTTAAAGCCAAAATTTCTTTTTTTGTAATTTTTTTATGCATAAGTTGTGAAAACCTGCAACTGAAGAAAGAATGCTAAGTATGAAATAACACCCCAGCGATAGCATTACAAAAACATCCCCTAAACAGCACAAAAATAAAAAATCCAGTTGTTTTTGCCTTATTATTACTGTATACTGCATAAATTAACTTCCCATGTTTCTTAAAAATAAACATAACACCTACCTATTCCTTCGCTCTTTTTAAATGTTCTCCTGACAGTTGTGCAGGTGGAGCCGTTACCATTGCAGACTCCACAGCGATCCTCGACAGAGTTGGAGTTAATCACATAATCGCAGCCGATATTCTGAAACAAACAGGCCCCGAGGTGTCACACAGCATCCTAACCAACATTGAGGTCGACATTTGTGGGAGGGAACCTTTATCTTTTTCCCCATGGGAGATTAACTCTTGAAAAGGATGAATTTATATGCACATTACCACAAAAAAAGACTTGGCAATAAACAGCTCAGTCTGCGTCATATAAGCTATAAATTCAAGCGGAGGGTGACACAAATAAAAGCTTTCAATTTCCAGGTCTTCACTGTTGCTTTACTGTTTTTATTTTACTGCTTGCACTCTAGCTGCTCCCACCAGATGCAGAGAAAGGCACAATTTACACCTGATTTACAAAATCAAGGGAGAAAGAATCCCTCAAAGGAAGACCTATTTAAATTCTTGCTTTATTTTTTTTTTGTTTATTTTATTTTTCCTTATGAGGATGAGAAAACCTTTTTATACCAGTAACATTTCTGTTGAACAAAACACCACCATGCATATCATGCAACTGAATTACAAATATCATTGCAGTGTCTGTTAAGATAAGTTGTTTAATTTGAACCCGAATGTTTAATTAGAATCTGTAACTTAATAATAAATCAAGTTTTAACATTTTTATTTTTAAAATAGGAGTTATTTCAAGAATGCAATATACTGTAACATGTATGATAAAATAACTCAGTCAAACTACATGAAGGAAAAATAAAAGCCAAATAAACACAGGTGGGCTTTAAAAAAGCACTTTGCAATAGGCAAGAAGGTAATTTAAAGACCATGTGGGTGAGCGACAAAAAAATGTCACTAAATGTCAGAAAACAAGGTCTGACTGGTGTCCACTCTGCATACAAACATTCTCTATCAGTAGCTGGCATTTTAGCCCAGGGTGATAGCAATGTGTTGCGCTCTCGCCTATCTAGACAGATAAGAACAGCTCATTTTCCAATCAGCGTGCTCATCGTCAAGCAGAATGTCAAATACACAGCACATGGCTGCAGAGAAAACAGGGTGAGGGTTAACTCGAAAGTCTGCAAAACTAATCCTCAGATGGTTTTAAGAAACTGGAGGATATCTCTGAACAAGTTTGAATTAATGTTGCCTGGGTGTGACCAGTGGGATCAGTCAGTAAGAAAAAGGAGCAGGCCCTGCACAGCGCCAAATCAGCTCATGAATCGAGAGGTTTATGAAATATCAAATCTAAGGGCACAAAGGGAACATTGACTTTCCTGGATTATGCCAAAGATCACACCATTCTTTTGTAGAGAAGCTGCCAGACTGACCACAGATTACAAGAAAGATATTTTTGGCTGTGGAAATATTTCTGCAACTGCAAAAACAACAAGAGTTACTGGTTTGGGTAATAAGCTGTGTCCTATTTCTTGGTATAGGTAGATTTCAGACTCTATCCAAGATGGTCCACAATAAGATTGCAGTTTATTTAGAGGATGTTTGTTCTGTATTTTTGTAATGCATTTATGTATCAAAATCTGGAAAAAAAAAACAATTTCATTTTACTGATAACATTATTATAAGAACAATAATAATTGTGTTGTGGTATTAAAGCACCAGCAGTGCTTGGAACTAGATGTTTCTTTTTATTAAATAGATTTAGTGAACTAATTATTTACTATTTTGCCAAATTTTCTTTGTAAATATTATGGCATCATTACAATCATGGTGTTTTTGCACGAGGTTATTACAATGCTAAGATATGGATAAGAATAACAACTTCCATGTTATGGATCAGATTACGGCTGTATTTTGACACAGCCTCTGACATTCTATCCTGTATCGTTTCCTGTGGCACTTTTAAAACCACCAGGACTGTCTTTTTCTTCCTCTTCCATTGGTGACCACAGCTCCGGATGGAAAGACCTAATGGTTCAGCTTGATACCCTATTCCATGTGGTGCAGAAATATTGAAGCTGTGGACTGTTTTTGCTGGTAAAAAGTACTGTATCCATCTTCGAAGAGGAAGCTTTGAGCTAATATCCAGCATCGCCATTGCAGGTACTGCCCACCTTTACAGTGGAATGAAGAGTTTTTAAATCTCTGCCTGTATATTGACTAAAACTACACCCTGTTCCACCCTGGCCACACATTCTGTACCGGAGATGCCTTCCGCACTGTCTGTGGTCCTGAACTACGAACCGTTGAGTTGCTGCCTCCCTGTTGCGATATTGAGCCGGTTTTCATCACATGAACCCAACAGGAAGGAGTAGGAGGCATTAGTAGTAGGCAAAACATGATTAATTTGATGATGCCAAAGACCACTATAATGCTAATTTGATGGACAGATGAGGGGGCTATAAATTCAAAATAGACAGAAACCAATCAAACATTAACTAAGTTATTACACCAGTATATTTATATGTATGCCAACAAGAAAAAAACATTATAAAATCACTTTCTAAAGACAAAACATAAATTCATGAACAGGTTTACTTTTTGTATATAAATGTTTTCCTTCTGAGGTTTTTTGAAGGCAAATCTCTATTTTACATGGTCCAATATGGTGTCACAAACCTAAAAAAACATAATGTAACTGTTTAATAATGGAGAAGCTATAAGTCAGCTTTATATTTTTTTTAATATATAAAAACTAGTTTTTTACTGAGAATGTGTTTATTTAAGAGCAACTATGCAAATTAACAAACATCTAGAAAAAGTACACTATATTATATTACTTTCCATGTGAATCCCAGATTGTTCATTCTTCTTGCCAAACCAGGTCCTGGAAAAGGACGTTTCTTGCACCATTTCTCTATCTCTCTACAATGCGTCTCCAAATCCTGCGACTCGACCTGTCAATCACCTGCTGGGGCGGAAGGTGGTGAGCAAGTACATATTTAATATATTTCAAAATAATTATTATTTTTATTTTTTTAATGTCTTAATAAGGGTCATTGGGTGGGTGGGCAGGCGCCCTAGCGCCCTCTATTGGTCAGCCGCCGCTGGATCTGAATATTATCAAAGACCGCCTCAAGGACTCATTTCAACTCTTTTTCTGTTTACTGGTTCTTTCATTTATCCTGTGTTAATTCCAGTAGCTTTTAGTGTTTGCAGAGTTTATTAAACATACAATAGGTGACAGGTAGGTTTACTAGAAATACTATTATTTTAATTAGTGGTTGTCTGTGAATACTTTATAACAGTGACTGATTGTAAAACTCTGATAGACAGAGACAAATATTTTCCTTGTGGTTAATGATTTAACTTAATTATTACACCAAGTTACTTACATTTACTGATGGCGAAGACAACTTGGATTTTAACAGCTGGTTTAAAACGTCCAGCCACAAAGGTAAGCGGTAAATAACACTAGGTAATTAAGCAATTTGTCATTTATAAGCATTTAACTAAAGATTTTTACCTTGTTTTACCCTTGATTTGAATGAAACACTAATTATCTATGACTTCCAGTTCCAATTAATAATATATTTATAATCTGCTGGTAAAATGGCACAACAGCTATTACCTCAGGTCTGTAAGTGATACAGCAGAAAAGGGATGGAAATAAAAACGCAGGTTGAAACAGGTAATTGCGTACCTGACAAATCCCATTGATGCACATATCTCTACTTTTGTTGTCTTCGTAACAAGGGGTCCCATCGANAAGAGGAAGCTTTGAGCTAATATCCAGCATCGCCATTGCAGGTACCGCCCACCTTTACAGCGGATGAGGAGTTTTTAAATCTCTGCCTGTAGATTGACTAAAACTACACCTGGTTCCACCCTGGCCAGACATTCTGTACCGGAGATGCCTTCTGCACTGTCAGTGGTCCTGACCTGCGAACCGCTGAGTTGCTGCCTGCCTGTTGCGATATTAAGCCAGTTCTCAACCCAACAGGAATCAGTCGGCGGCAGTCACGGGAACCTGCTGTGAGCTAAGTGCATCGTGAAGATAGTATCTTACCAAATCTCTAGGTGAAACAAAGGTTTACGATCCTACAATATCGCCTGTGCTGTATATGACTTTTGGTGCGACATGTTGTGGTTCCTGGCCTGGGGTAACCATCCAAGCCTAGCCGCCAACATGCAAGAATTAGCCTAACCTGCAGTAGTGTGTTTGTGGCTATTAGTTGCCCTGACAACAGAAGCGTTGTGTCCCAACACTACCACTAATTTTATACACATTTTGATGCCTTCACATAAAAGGCATTGCGTTTATTGTGCTGTGACCAGACGTCCCCAATTGGACCGTTTTATGAATGAGGGGGGAAATGTTGTGTACCCTGTTATTACAATAGAAAAAGCGTGTAAGCATGCTGCACACAGAAACAGCCGTTAACTACCTGATTGGCAGCTGTTAACGTATAGATGAGGAGCAGAGCGCACAACTTTTAAAACAAACTAGGAAGAAGTAAAAGTTTGTTATCATAACTAGTCACAGCTGATGGGGAGCTGCCCTGCGTTATGGTGATTGCTTTAATTGGTTCATTTAATTTGGATTGGGCTGATCATTGCAAGAAATGTTTGGTTCATTCCTAAGTTAATAAAAAAAGGGATTTGCTGTGTTTTGTTTTAATAAAGGTGAGGACTGGGAATGAAACATAGACCAAGCTTGTCACCAAAAACTAAGACAAGAAAATTGGCTGCATCTGGCATTAGTAAATAGACTCAGATAGGCTAAAATTAAACAGAATGACTCCTTGTAAGGCAATATCTTCAGATAGTCATTGTAAGTTGTTTTGCTGTTTTATAGTTGTGATTTATGAGCATAGACTTCCAGGCTAGGTCTACTTTATTACCACTCAGTTTGGACATTTGAAAGTTGCTCAGTATAAAATAATAAGAGGCAGTAAAAGGGAAACTGAATTAGCCAAGGTCTGCATGATCTGAGAATGATGGAGGAATAGAAAACCACCTGTTGAATGTTCATTTATCAGGTTGTTTTTATTTGTAGCTCCAAATATTGTGATGATTTGCCTTTTAAGCATTTAATCAGATGAGATGATAATAATCATCATCATCGGAAGAAGACAGAAAAGACTGGATGACACTATCGATTGATTAATTTGATTAATCTTAGGAAATACTAATAGTATGGAGAGGCATATTCCTGAATTTTATACTTGATTTTTGTTCTTTAAATATTGATAAATATGTACAGTAAAACTGGATGAAAGCATCACTGTCCAAGCTTCCTATTTTAATATTGATGATATTATTATTTTCTTTTTTATATATGAACTGGTAATGTCCCCAGATTTGATTTCAGAATTCTGGTCACCTTAGTTTATTGGTAATAATTCATTACTGAATTGAGTAAAACATGATTAATTTGTCTCCAAATCCTGCGACTCGACCTGTCAATCACCCACTGGGGCGAGTGGTGGCGAGCAAGTACACTTCCTGTCACCTCAGGTCGCAGCTTGGCTGGGCCCTGGGCCGTCGTATACATTTGTACTGCAGAGGAGCTACTGCACAGGTACAACTTTTAACGGGAGTTAATGGGCAAACATTAGGGAGAAAATAGGTCATCAATTAAATGAATAATGGAATGACGCTTTACTAGTCATTAGAGATTAAGTATTTATCTTGCACATCTAAAAAATATATGTAAATATATTTCAACATTTTTTATTTTTTTCTTAATCAGGGTCATTGGGTGGGTGGCCTCTATTGGTCAGCCGCCGCTGGATCTGAATATTATCAAAGACCGCTTAAAGGACTCATTTCAACTCTTTTTCCGTTTACTGGTTCTTTCATTTATCCTGTGTTAATTCCAGTAGCTTTTAGTGTTTGCATAGTTTATTAAACATAATAATAGGTGACAGGTATTATTAGGTTTAATAGAAATACTATTATTTTAATTAGTGGTTGTCTGTGAATACTTTATAACAGTGACTGATTGTCTGTAAGAGCTGGACCAACTTCCTTTGAGCTAACAACTCTGATAGACAGAGACAAATATTTTCCTTGTGGTTATTGATTTAACTGAATTACTACAAAGAGCAACTTACATTTACTGATGGCAAAGACAACTTGGATTTAAAAAGTCGGTCCAAAACGTCCAGCCACAAAGAAAAGTGGTAAATAACACCAGGTAATGAAGCAATTTGTCATTTATAAGCATTTAACTAAAGATTGTTACCTTGTTTTACCCTTGATTTGAATGAAACACTAATTAACTATGACTTCCAATTAATTTCCAGTTCCAATTATTATTATATATGTATAATCTGCTGGTAAAATTGCACAACAGCTATGACCTCAGATCTGTAAGTCATACAACAAAATTAAAGCGCAGGTTGAAACAGGTGATTGCGTACCTGACAAATCCCATTGATGCACATATCTCTACTTTTGTTGTCTTCGTAACAAGGGGTCCCATCGACGACGACGTCCCGCATTTTCT